TGCTAGTGCGTCTGCAGCTCCAGGTGCTCGCGTGTCTGCTACCCCAGGTGATGGTGAGGCTGCCGCTCTAGGTGCTGGTGAGTCTGTCTCCCCTGGTACTGAGTCGACTGCGGCACTGCACACCTTCACACTGGACTCAGGTGCTTCTCGCTGTTTCTTTCGAGATCGCACTGCCCTTGAGCCACTCGCTCGGCCAGTTGCTGTCTCCCTCGCTGACCCCTCTGGGGGTCCGGTCATTGCGACCTCCTCCACTGTTCTTCCCTGTCCTGCGGTCCCGTCTGGCACACTGTCTGGTCTCTACCTCCCCTCGTTCTCTACGAACTTGGTGGCGGGTAGTGCGCTCCAGGACGGGGGTGTTCACCAGTTCACCCCTGCCTACGAGCGCGTGACACACTGCACGTGTGCTCGGACGGGCCGTCACCTGGCTACCTTCACTCGGGAGCCGGGGTCGGACCTGTACACACTGACCACTGAGTCCCCTCAGGTAGCTGCGTCTGCGTCTGCGTCAGGTCAGCTGTCCGCCCCCTGCTCGTGTTGCTCTCTGGCGCATGAGACTGTCCTCTGGCACCACCGCCTTGGTCACCCGTCTGTGCAGCGCCTTCGGGCCATGCACAAACGGGACCTTGTTGCTGGTCTTCCCAGGGTTCTCCCTCCCCTCCCACCCTCGCCTGCTCCTCCCTGTCTTCCCTGTGTCGAGGGGCGGCAGCGCGCCGCTCCTCACTCCTCCTCCTTTCCCCCGACGACTGCTCCTTTGCAGACGCTCCACTTGGACGTGTGGGGCCCAGCCCGCGTCCGTGGACAGGGTCAGGAGAGGTACTTCCTGATTGTTGTTGACGACTTCTCGCGCTACACCACGGTCTTCCCCTTGCGCGCCAAGGGTGACGTCCCTGATGTCTTGATCCCTTGGATCCGCAGATCTCGTCTCCAGCTCAGCGAGCGTTTCCACTCGGACTTTCCTGTCCTGCGTCTGCACTCTGACAGAGGTGGGGAGTTTTCCTCCGGCCTCTTGGAGGCCTTCTGTCAGCAGGAGGGCATTGAGCAGTCGTTCACGCTTCCGGCCTCTCCACAGCAGAATGGGGTTGCTGAGCGCCGCATTGGCTTGGTCATGGAGGTCGCTCGTACCTCCTTGGTTCATGCGGCTGCCCCCCATTTTCTGTGGCCGTTTGCAGTCCGATACGCTGCGCATCAGCTCAACCTCTGGCCCCGAGTCTCCCTCCCGGAGACTTCTCCGACCCTGCGTTGGACGGGAGAGGCTGGCGATGCGTCGCGTTTTCGGGTCTGGGGATCCCGAGCTTTTGTTCGAGACACGTCCGCGGACAAGCTCTCCCGTCGCGCTGTCCCCTGTGTCTTCCTTGGCTTTGTCCCGGACGCCCCTGGTTGGCAGTTCTACCACGCCACCTCGCGTCGTGTCCTGGCCTCTCAGGACGTCACTTTTGACGAGTCCGTCCCCTACTACCGCCTCTTCCCCTACCGCACTGCCCCGCTCCCCCCCCCGCCTCTCTTCCTCGCTCCAGGTGCTGAGGTACCAGACCCCCTCCCCCCTCAGGGTGCCGCTCCCTCAGGTGTGTCCCAGGTAGACCCGGGTGAGCCTGTCGAGGTAGCTGTCGACTCTCGTCCTGCTAGGGGTGCTGAGCCTGGGGGTGCTGAGCCTGGGGGTGCTGCGTCTGGGGGTGCTGAGCCTGGGAGTACTGAGTCTGGAGGTGCGGAGCCTGGGGGTGCTGAGCCTGGAGGTGCGGAGCCTGGAGGTGCGGAGCCTGGAGGTGCTGAGTCTGGAGGTGCTGAGTCTGGGGGTGCTGACCCTGAGCGTGCTACACCTGGAGGAGCCCTCTCCTCCCGGCAGCTGCAGGAGCGGTACCTACAGTACTGCCGCCTCCGGAGAGGTGCTACTGGAGCTCGTACCAGTACTTCCCCTCCTGCCCAGGAGCTCCCCCCCATTCAGCAGATCCGAGAGTGGTACACGCGGCGCTGCAGTCTTCGGAGTGGTGCTCCTGGTGCTGCGGACCCTGGGGTTGGCGCTGCTACTGGTGCTGAGGACCCGGGCGTTGGAGCTGCTGCTGGTACTGCGGACCCGAGCGGTGGAGCTGCTACTGGTGCTGAGGACCCGGGCGTTGGAGCTGCTGCTGGAGCTGAGGACCCGAGCGGTGGAGCTGCTGCTGGTGCTGAGGACCCGGACGTTGGAGCTGCTGCTGGTGCTGAGGACCCGGGCGGTGGAGCTGCTGCTGGTGCTGAGGACCCGAGCGGTGGAGCTGCTGCTGGTGCTGAGGACCCGGACATTGGAGCTGCTGCTGGTGCTGAGGACCTCGCCGCTGGTGTCTCTGCTGGTTCTGGAGACGCTGCGCGGCCGCGACCGTACTTCGTACCACTTCTTCAGCAGGTTCTTGGTCAGGCTCCTCCTCCTTGTCCTCCTCCCTCCGTAGAGTGTCCTCCGCCTGTCCAGCCGCAGTCACAGTTACCGCCTGCCTCGCCTCTCCCTGCTCCCTCTCCTTACACTGGTCCCACAGGAGGTCTTACAGAGCGTCGTGAGCCTGAGTCTCGTCCTGCGTCGCCTGTTCGTACTGCTCGCACTGGTCGTCGTGTCCCACGTGAGCGTCCTTCTCCTGTCCCTGGCACTCACTACATGACTCTGCGTCCCTCTACTGCTCCTCAGCGTGTCCCTCTGCCGTCTCCTCCTGCGTCCTCTCTACCTACTCTTCCTGACCCGGAGTCTGACTCCCGTCGTGCTGCCAGTCCCACTGTCACGCGTCTCCTAGCTACTGTTGTCACTGACCCTACCTTTGAGTCCTCTGCTGCGTCTGCTCTGGTCGCTGAGTTGGTTGACTTTGCTGCCCGCTGTCGTCTAGACTACGCCGCTAGCCTTGTTGCTGAGTCTGAGTCTGTCTGTCCTCCGTCCGTCGGGGGTGAGTGTGCTCTTGGCACGGACGTCCTTGAGGACAGACAGGAGGAGTTCCAGTGCTTTGCTGCTGCTTTGCCCCGTCTCGTGTCCATGCTAGTTGCCCCTGAGGGAGACCCGGATGCACCAGACATCCCGACCCCGCGCACTTACGCTGAGGCGATGGCGGGTCCCTACTCCTCTCAGTGGCAGACAGCCATGGACACAGAGATGGCTTCCTGGAAGTCCACAGGCACCTACGTCGATGAGGTTCCCCCACCTGGGGCGAACATCGTTAGTGGCATGTGGATTTTCAGGGTGAAGCGGCCGCCGGGTTCTCCTCCTGTCTTCAAGGCGCGCTACGTTGCTCGAGGCTTCAGTCAGCGAGAGGGAGTAGACTTCTTCCAGACCTTCTCCCCCACCCCGAAGATGACCACTCTTCGGGTGCTGCTACACATAGCCGCTCAGCGCGACTACGAGCTTCACTCACTTGACTTCAGCACTGCTTTCTTACAGGGCAGCCTGCACGAGGAGATCTGGCTACGTCGCCCACCTGGCTTCACTGGGTCGGTTCCTCCTGGTACCCAGTGGAGGCTCCAGCGGCCGGTCTACGGTCTCCGCCAGGCACCACGTGAGTGGCACGACACACTGAGGACGACACTTGCGGCTCTTGAGTTCGCTCCCTCTACTGCTGACCCGTCACTGTTTCTACGCACTGACACCTCACTGCCGCCGTTCTACATCCTCGTGTACGTCGACGACTTGGTCTTTGCCACTGCTGACACCGCGGCACTCGCCCACGTGAAGTCGGAGCTGCAGAGGAGACACACGTGCACAGACCTGGGTGAACTGACGAGCTATCTTGGCTTGCGGATCACCCGGGACAGAGCACGGCGCACCATCACCTTGACTCAGTCACACATGGTGCAGCAGATCCTCCAGCGCTTCCGCTTCACGTACTCCTCGCCTCAGTCCACTCCTCTGCCTACCGGTCACTCGCTCTCAGCTCTGCCTTCGGATGAGTCCGTAGAGCCGAGTGGCCCGTATCCAGAGCTTGTGGGCTGCCTCATGTACCTGATGACCTGCACTCGACCTGACCTGGCATACCCTCTTAGCATCCTTGCACGCTATGTCGCTCCTGGCCGTCACAGGAAGGAGCACATGGATGCCGCTAAGAGGGTGTTGCGCTACTTGTGCAGTACGTCGGGCATGGGGCTAGTGCTTGGAGGGCGGGACCGAGTTGTACTCACAGGACACTCAGACGCTTCTTGGGCGGACGATCAGGCTACTCAGCGGTCGTCTCAGGGTTACACCTTCAGCCTTGGCTCTGGCTCAGTTTCTTGGCGTTCCACACGCTCTTCTTCTGTTCTCAGCTCCAGTTGTGAAGCTGAGATCTACGCCACAGCCATGGCTGCCCAGGAGCTACGCTGGCTGACCTACCTGCTGACCGACCTGGGAGAGCGGCCTCGTTCTCCTCCAGTGCTGTACGTCGACAACAAGGCTGCCATTGCCTTGTGTGAGGAGCACAGACTGGAGCACAGAACAAAGCACATCGCCCTGCGGTACTTCCTTGCTCGAGAGCTGCAGCAGCGCGGTCAGCTTTGTCTGCGCTACGTGGCCACTGAGGCCAACACTGCTGATGTGTTCACCAAGGCGCTTCAGCCTTGTGACCATCAGCGCTTCTGCACTCTGCTAGGCCTTGTGCCTGCTGGACCTCACTTGCTTACTTCTTGACCCTGCTTGTACTGTGATCACTATATATATATATATATACCTGCATGTTTACTCTTGCTAGGTTGTGATCACTGTATCTCTTGCTTTGTTATAAACCTGCATGTGAACTGGCCTTGTGGCCACTGTTAGGTTTGGCTATCCCCCCTACTTCACCTATGGGGGTGTGTCAAATTATATGTTTCATATTATTTAGTTCTAGGTTGTGTAGGGGTGATTCTTAGAGGGTACAATGATTCTCTCGATACTCTTGTACCCCCTCCCCTAACCTAATCGACATACTTTCCTCTCTAGTCTTGACAGACAGTGGGCTTGCTGTTCCAGAGGAGAACTTCAAGGATGCGGATGCCGAGATAGGGGATGAGGATGAGATTCCGGAAGTGGTTGAGGCCTCAAACAGATGGCTGGTTCCATCGCTGAGCTGAGAAGCCGTGTGAACGAGTACTCAGTCACCGTTGACGGCCTGCAGGCAACGGTCGAGAGCCTGAAAGAGGCGTTGGCAGACAGGGATGCAATCATCTCCCAGCTGCAGCAGGACGTAGCTGCCCTGAAGAATCTGTGTATGCCCCGTGCAGGGTTTGCGGGTGGTAGTCCCGAGAAAGCGGCGAGCAGCCCGGCCCCTCCTGCAGGCGGCCACAAAACGATGACGGCCCAGTCACATCAACCTGTGCACCATGACGGTTTCAGTACTCGGGGTGTTGCAGCTGCGGGTCAGCTGGTCGGGGCGCCGCTTCCAGCGCCACAGGGCTTAGAGGTGTCCGCCGTGGCGACTGGTGTACGGGCAGCAGACATGAGATCTCACTTGCCGGGCATTTCAACGGCGGGTCCAGGAGCCAGGGTGCGTGCGGCGGAGTTTGGAGAGGGAGAATCGGAGCGTACTGCATGCACGGGTGCACGGGCGCGAAGCTCCAAGTGGACTGGAGTGCGTTTCGACACACTGAGCGGTAAGTGGCACGCAGCCATTGGACTGGAGAAGGGCAGGTCATACTCTACGCCGTTGGGAGCGTATGACTCAGAGGTGGACGCTACTGAGGCTTATGCTGCTGCTGCACTGGTCTTGCGTAAGGGCTGGGGTCCCCCACGTGGCTACGTCATGGAACTCAGGATCGAGGACCGTGCCATTCTCGAGAGTATGACTCATGATGAAGGGACCGAGCTTCTGACGGCCAAAGCGTGGCACAAGTGGCGCTCTTGGCGCCGTGAGCTGTATCCCTCTGCCTTCTTTGCAGAGACCGCCGGCGGTCGCCCCCAACCATTGTCTGCAGAGCAGGCTGCCGCAGAAGAACGTGCAAGGGTGCAGGGACAGGCTGCGGCTGCCATTGGAGTGGCAGGAGGACATGCCGGCGGCCGACCGTCAGCTGACATTCCTGCTGTGCGTGAGGTGGCTGCAGCGGAGGGAGTGATTGCATCACTTACAGCACCAGGCAACAGGTAGATGAGAGTGGCCAGCGTGCACCTACTTTGCGTACGTTACACTATGCCTCTGCAGCGTATGTCAGGGAACACGATGTCGGTTTGTGAGATGGTGACTATGGTGGCATGGTGCAGTTCAATTGCTGAAAGGCCTTGTGTTTTACCCAAGCATGCTCCTCTTGTGTTAGGTGAAAACTACTATCGTATCCTAAGTAGAACAACTCTACGATCTGACTGTTGGCTCCGTACTTGCTTGCCGCTGTGTCTAGATGATACTGGTTCTTGTTCACATCACACGCCGACATTCAAATTGCAATGCTTGAATCTTTAGCGTTAAGGCCATGAGTTTAATTCTGACGCATCAAATGGTCACGATTTTGCCATAGACACAAAGCAATTGAATCTAAGTGGTTACTCAGACAAATCCATGGATTTTCAGTACATGCCACTAAGACTGACTGTATTGATTTCTATTTGGGGTGTTTTCGCTGTATCTCTGCGAAACCATTACTTCAGGATGGACAAAGCCTCAACGCACGCGAAAGGTTGGGTTCATTAGACTTCATGAAAACCACTTCCAGTCCGAAACCACCAAGTCGGTTTGTTTTCGCGATTGGCCGGTTGATTTCGCGGGGTTTCCGCTTATGCCGCGAATAGTCCGTTATACTACTAGCACTAATGTCATGTATTGTGAACATAATCTCGAAAATGAAAAAACAACAAACAAGATCAGGCCAATGCTAGAAAATTGACCACTATGCAATTACCAAAGTACGTACCATGAACGACGGAAAATGGACGAAACAATTTGTACGACAAAGTAAACGGTGGGTCGTAACGAAAACCAAACGTCACCCACCATATGACTGCAAGTGTGCTCAAACGTTGGAAAGAACTGAAAGGTTATAAATATCATAACCCACGCCGTTGGAACCAAAGACACCTACACGCCATTGTCTTGTCGAAACTGCTGCGATCAGAAGATGATCGGAGCCCAGGATCTTCTCACGAAGGTTCGCGTGCAGTAAGGTAGTGTTGGTGGGACGTTGACCCCAATAGAAGTGTTAATGTAACATGCTTTGAGATAATTAAAACATTAAAATAGAAGAAATATGAACATGCGTACAGGGAAGACGAAACGACCTAGCTAGCCATGTACTCTAAGGGGTACGTTCCCTTATTCAAATACATCCCCAACCGTGCGGCGCGTACAGTTTAACGATGCACAGTATCGAAAACCAACAGCAAAAAGAAAGTTGTTATTACCTGTCAGAATCCCAGCCACTAACCACTGGGATAAAAGGGCTTGTTTGTGTAGCGGGTGAGTGCGCCCATAACCCCCCAGGTCGACGTGCTTGTAACCCTTCTCTAGGACCATCGGGGATCTCCAGTGGACCTCTGACATTACCGTATGTATCCATGTGCCACACTGAACCCTTTATCGTTGCATTGAACAACGGTCGACCGTCATCACGGATGCTAATAGCTATCAACGTTGAATTCCTTCACAACATTCTATGTTGTGAACCTATAAACACGGTGCAAGTAGATATGATATGCACTGCAAAGGCTGATAGGAGACGCTAAGGTCCCTGTAGGGACCCTTTTAAGTAATAGTCGACTAAGTACATAGCCTCAGAGCCGTGCACCAATTATTCTTCGCAGGGAGTACAAGTCCACGTGCATTTCTAAATAGGAACCACTAGGGTGTACCTCACTCCCATCTGTCTTAAACAACATGCTGTGGGATGACTTGCAACATCTCCTAAAATAATAATGCCACTCATATGACTTGTACACAGTGGAACCATAAAAACTACATATACCAAACAACATTACGTTCGAAGAATATTCCGTACATTCGGACCACTAACAGCAAACCTCGAAACTACCCCCGACTGTCACGCAAACACGGGTTGCCTGTATAGCGGGCAAAAGTCAGAAACTCGCCGTTTGCCACGTCATCGCATTCCACAATAACAGATCTCACTTATCCAAATTAAAACTCCGGAGGTGCCGAGATGTACTGTAACCAAATTAGGCTTCACGAGTAGACGCCCGAAACGCACGTTAGTTGACCGTGCAAAGCCCCAACTTCTTCATCTTCTAGCGCTGTTTGTGGTGCAAAGCATGCCGCTATAGTCGCGATGGTTAAAAAAAACCCGAATCGGACTCCCACAAAAAAGATGGCTAAGAAGCAGACGCCGTCGTCCAAGAACGTAACACGACTGGATACGCCCGCCCCGTTCCGAGTGTCCACGGTCGTCGTGGCGGATCGTCGCGACATTCCTCGAGACGCCATTACGCCACACGTCGTAAAAGTAAAACTCCCGGATCCAGAGACCCCATGTCCCGAAGTCCCTGGCTTTCCTACGGAATCGATTGTGGACCATTACGGTAATTGGACGACTCTTGCGTCGTTTGATGCGCTCTCCATCCAAGACGGGGAACAGCTGACATCTAACATCATTGATTTCCACAATATGTGAGTGGATCTCGTCTCGGAAACACCTTCAACGCCATGACATTATTATGCATCATCCTTGCCGCGAAATCTACGTGCCATTTGCTAACTAGTCATCTCTTGCAGCGTGCTAAACCTGCGCTAACCTAGGCTACCCGACGGGCGGACATGGCGGGTGTTGTGTTCCTCGGCGTACACTCATTTGGTCGCGCATGGTGGACTATGTGGCAGTGAATCGGAACAGTCAGTGCTCGACGTGGATTACCTCTGTGTCATCATCCACACGGGGTATGTGAACGCCGCCCATCTGAACCGTTCAAAGCGGTCCATAATCTAGATGCATAGTAAGCCGCACCATGCTCACAGCACCAATCATCCGACTTCACTTGTTTGTCCACATTGTCAAGATAAGCGGTAGTCTTAGGAGCCATAGCTAGGAGAGTCCTAGCTAGGCAAGAGAGTTTAGGCGAAAGAGGGGGTTGCACTAGCAAGAATGGGGATACAAATAGCAAACCCTAGAAGGGTTGTACTCGCTACAGAGCACCCCACTACAGGCTAGAGCATAATATTCTGACACACCCCCATAGCCAAAGTGGGGTGTAATCAGCAGAGCAAGCAAAGCAGTACAAGCTCAGGGTGGATCACAATGTCACCACACATTCTGAGCACAAGTTTAAGAAGCAATAGTTTAAAGTTCACAATTATGAGCAAAGCTAGTGGTAGTCACAACGGGCAAGTGAGGAGGAGGAGGGCTGGCGAGAGGAGAGTAGATGGGAGGCGACGACTGAAGCTGCAGGCACACGGGCAACAGACGGCTCTGGTGCGACACAGTGGCTACCGGGAGTGAGTGCCCCGGAGTACAGGAGTAACAGGCTCCGCGGCTAAGACGAGCAGCAGGAGCAACGGACCCACAGGCGACGGCGCAACCGGCTCTCTGAGCTACCGGGAGTGAGTGCCCCGGAGTACAGGCGCTGCGTACGACACGACGGCAACCTCCCCTCAACCTCCCCCAACAGTCCCACACCCCTCGACACACACCCGCTGCTACACCGCTAGCTCCACTCCCCCTTCACCCCCCCTTAGTACCACTCCGACGGCTCCAACAGGTCCACCCCCCTCAGCGGCAGCTGCAGCACAGGGAGACGGAGGAGGAGGAGGAGCAGGGAACGGCACACAGAAGCTGCACCCCCATACCCCCCAACCCCAAACCCTAATCCAGGAGAACGGGCAGAAGGAGGGGTGGGGCGCCTTCAGAAGCACGGGGGACAGCGGGGAGGACAGGGGCAGCGAAGAACGGGCCGCCCACGGGCCTGGCACAGCCTCCCGAACCGCGCGCAGGCGGTCCGAGCCGCGCGCGGGCCTGGCGCAGCCCGTACGGGCCGCGCGCGTGCCTGGCGCAGCCCGTACGGGCCGCGCGCGGGCCTGGCGCAGCCCGTACGGGCCGCGCGCAGGCCACGACGGGCGACGGGGGGCGACGCGCGGGTCCCCGTCGCCCGTCGCAGCGCCTCCCGGGGGCGACGCGCCGAGTGACGGGGCAGGAACCCGCCGCGCGCCTCGGGGCACACGGCGGGCAGAGAACCGCCGCGCGCCTCGGGGCGCACGGCGGGCAGAAAACCGCCGCGCGCCTCGGGGCGCACGGCGGGCTGAAAACCCTAGTTTCGACGCCGCGCACCACGGGGCGCGCGGCGGACAGGGAGTAGCAGTAGCAGCGGAAGCAGTGAAGTGGGCCCACAGGCCACGAACGTTAAGCTCTGATACCATGTCAGAATCCCAGCCACTAACCACTGGGATAAAAGGGCTTGTTTGTGTAGCGGGTGAGTGCGCCCATAACCCCCAGGCCGACGTGCCTGTAACCCTTCCCTAGGATCAATCGGGGATCACCAGTGGACCTCTGACACCCCCCCGCACTGGGATGCCCGAAGTGCACACACCGGGAATCGAACCCGAGACCTTCGCTCTGATACCATGTCAAGATAAGCGGTAGTCTTAGGAGCCATAGCTAGGAGAGTCCTAGCTAGGCAAGAGAGTTTAGGCGAAAGAGGGGGTTGCACTAGCAAGAATGGGGATACAAATAGCAAACCCTAGAAGGGTTGTACTCGCTACAGAGCACCCCACTACAGGCTAGAGCATAATATTCTGACACACATTCCATGTAGAGATGACAATGGCGGTCACTGGAGCTTAGTCGTTGTCAAGGACCCGGGCCGAATTCTGCCGACTGATGAGAAATACAGCTCAGCAACGCGCCCCGTGACTGTTCTCATGGATTCGACGAGCATTCACCTCGTGATATCTGTGCATGTCTTCAACAACGTTAAGATGTAGGTGCTCATCACCGCGTATATGGCCCAACTGTTGTAGTCGGTTGCGTGTCTGTCGCGACAAGTTGATCCTTTCGGGTTGAATCAAATAACGATCGTATGTCCCTACGCAATGGCAGTTTACTAGGACTAGCATTGCAGCAACGCCAGAAGGACCTCCCTGCTGACGTTTTGGCAGCAAGGACAGCACGGGTCGAATGCATTGAGGCCCCGGTGAGTCACCCTGTGCAAATCCCC